AAAATCCAAAGAAGTAATGGCAGAATGTGCTGGATTTCCAGGAGCACGAATCACTCTGCACTTCCCAAGAGTCTCCAGGAATTCCATGCCTGGGAATGTGTTTTTTCTTACACAGGAGTGGTCATGGGTATGGACTTTTGAGCATCTAAGTGCATGTATCTCCCAATGGGTAGTAAAGTCACAGCCCAAAAGCTTACAGCTGTTGAATTCTTGGGTATTTGGGAGAATACATGGAGAAAGAACACCAGCAATGCCCTTCATTTGAAAACTGGACCCAGAAGAGAGAGATAATTTTGGAAGTCTCTGCAATTATGTCTATCACTGATAGGTCAAGATGGAGTTTTGATGGGTTGATTTCCAATGCACCACATGTAGAAGTTTAGTTCAAGTCTAGCTCCTTAGAAGAACTTTGGTGGCTCCACAGCTATGGCTGAACTGATCTTCATAAGGGAAGAAGATGAGGTTCCAGAAATCAGAGGGAATTGACAAGAACCAGGTGGCAGATGTGTATGAGAGGAGCCAGATCTGAAGGTTCAGGTGGGTATGTAGTTATGGAAGGTGCACTTTATGGACTTTATGGGTCAAGTCTTTTGCACAGTTGCATTTGCAGTGAAGGCATCCCATTGTGCAGCTAAGCCCTGCAGCCCCAGGGCTTTTAGGAGCCACCAAAGGAGCAAAGAGGACAAGGAAATAAGGTCTTTGTGAACACCCACTCTATCAGGCTGCATCACTGTTGGTTCAGAAATCCTCAGGAAAAAAAGGACCAGATGCTTCCACAGTGTTCCCAGATCTTACTTTTGGAACATCTAAAACCAACCTAGAGCTCCCTAAAAGGTGAGGTGAAAGCTTTTTGTCACCTTTGACTAAGGATGCCATAGTTTCCTCATTGCCAGAGTAACAGATGCAATCTCCAGCATCCTCCAGCTGTAGATTGTGGATGAGTAGCTCCACAGCAGAGCCCATCTGCTTCACCTCATACTTGTTGCAACCTTGGAGCAAGACTGACCCTTTTTTCCACTTCACTGGTGCACTGAGCTTGGAAAGCTCAGCATTAATCATAGAATCACAGAATGGTTTGAGTTGGAAGGGATCATCCAGTTCCAACCCCCCTGCCATGGGCAGGGGCACCTTCTACCAGACCAGGTTGATCCAAACCCCATCCAATCATGAACACATCCTGGGATGGAGCATCTACAGCCTCCCTGGGTAACCTGTGAAGGGTGACCACAGAACCTTCCTTGGCTTCCTGGTTTGGAGTTTTTTTTCCAAAGAGTGCTGGCGTGGCTGGGACCACACATAAAGACACAAAGGGACAGTTGCCATCATAGGATTGGCTTACAGTCCAAATATCCTGCTATCACTGAATCTGGGAGTAGGTTTGACATCAAGCATGTATGTGTCCTTCATGGGAGAGCCTTCAGGGATGTTTCAAAAGATGCATCCTCTTTATTTCTGCTGATGTTGTATCTCAGAAGAAAAACATTGTATTTATACCAGAGTATATCTTTAAAAATTGATGTATTGTCACATTGCAGCTATTTTTTTAGATCCTAGACACTAGGAGTATTTAGGTACTTTAGGTGCCTTGCTTGTCACATGGAGTGGAGTGCCCAAGAAGGTTTGAGCACCTTGACTCTCAAGCACCATTTTCCCAGGTGGAACTATAGCTCTGAGGATGGTTACGTGACAAAAAATGGTCTCATTCTAACTTTAATATCAGCCTTGGTTTTCTGAGTGACTAGAAAGAGCCCCTTGGGTCTAGGACTGTGGAGGCAGTTACTGGACTTGGATCCCTCCATGTCCATTGCTTAGGACACCATAGGACTTAACTCCTGAGAGCAAAAGGACTCGGCTGCTTTACGTCAGGGAAGTCAAGGACAGTAGATAGAATCCTCTTGCTAGTATCAAGCTAAGGAAATGGAACAAGTTTCTCCCCTTAAAAAGAAAAGAGCACAACCTACCTTTAACTGTCAAAGTGGCCGTTGTTTGTTCATTGCCATTGTCACAGGTGTATTTGCCAGAGTCTTCTGGTTTCAAGTCATGAATCTTCAAAGTATGGATTGTCCCCTCCTGCCTGATTTCATACTTGGAGCTCGGGGAAAGCACCTGAGCACCCTTTTTCCACTTGACTGCAGCCTGAGGCTGGGAGACCTCGCAGCAGAGGGTGGCTGTTTCCTCCTCCTGCAGTTCTGTGCTCTGTAATTTCTTCTTAAAGACTGGAGGTGGCACTGGAATTACAGACACAGCAAAAGCCTTTACAGTCACCTTGATCTTATCACAGAATGCTTTGGATTGGAAGGGACCCTCTATCCTATTTGAGTTTAAACCCATCCTCCCTTGTCCTGTCATAACAAGCCCTGCTCAGAAGTCCCTCCCCAGCTTTCTGATGGGTCCCTTGAAGCCCTGGCAGCCCCCAGCAGGTCTCCCCAGCTGGAGTCTTCTCCTCTGGGGCTGCCCCAGCCCAACTCTCTCCTGCTGGGCTCCCAGCAGAGGGGTTCCCCCCTCGGGGCATTGCTAGGGGTCCTCTGGCCCCACTCCAGCAGGTCCCTGGCTCTGCTGTGCTGAGGACTCCAGAGCTGCCCCAGCACTGCAGGGGGGGCTCCCCAGATCTTGTTTCCCTGCAGTGTTAAAGCTACAACAGAGCAGTTAAGTATTAGAAAAACCACTTTCACTTCTGTGTTGTATATTGGGGAGTTAGGTGAATGGATTTGGGGTGAAACCCACTCACAAATACTTGTTGAAGTTGCTGAAGGACTAATCAAAAACTTTACAGATGTTTTAGTGGGTTTGGGTGGGAGGAGCACTTTGGCCAGACCAACAGCTTCAACCAAGGAAGGAGAAGGACATTTCACTGAGGATTTCTTCAATCCAGGGTTTAGAGATGAAAAAAAATATTCCAAAGAAGAAAACGAAAAAAAAAGAACAGGGAAAGTGGAAGCAATGAAAATTACAGACTGGTCAATCCACCTACTGAAATTTCTCTAGAAACCAGTGAGTTTGAGGACCCTGGTGACATAACCACTATCTATCTAACCCACAGTGGTCACTGTTCCCACCAGTCCTGTTCCTTTCCCTCTTCACAGAGAGCCCTCACCTTTTACTGTCAGCTCTGCTGTCGACTTGTGGGGTCCCACTCGGAAAGTGACGGTGCCAGTGTCCTGCTCGGTCACCTTCCTCAAGGTCAGAGTGTGAACTTTTCCTTTTTCCACTGAAATCTCATTCATTTCATTATTTTGCAGAGCAACATCCTGGAGCTTCCACTCCACGTCCCTCGCGTTTTCGTGGGACACCTGGCACCGAAACGTGACGTCGTCCCCTTCAACCACCACCACGTCCTTCAGGCCACTCACGATGGTCACGTCAGGCTCTGCCAACAGCCCAGCAGTGGTCATGCAACAGAAAACACGCACCAAAACATAGAAATGTTGAATGATATAGGTTGGAGGGGAGTTCTGGAGGTCATCTTGTCCAAACACTGCTCCAAGCAGGGCCAGCGGACAGCAGGTTGCTCAGTGCCTTGTCCAGCTCATCTTTAAGTACCTCTAGGGATGGAGATATCACAGCTTCTCAAACCATGTTTCACACACTCCTGGGTCACTACTTGCAGTGTACTTGGTGGATTAGCCAATATCTCTAATTTAGTGGCTTTATCACTTGCCCTTTTTAAGATACATTGAGCATTAATGATTTTAATTATGTGTTTGATAATAAAATTGGGTTTATAAAGTGTGAATGCTAGATGCAAAATTCAAGATTTCAAAATCTTTCACATTTGCACTTAGAATCACAGAATGGCTTAGGTTGGAAGGGACCCTAGAGATCACCTAATCCTTAGAGATCTTCACAGGATAACTTTAAAACCTGCTTTTTGCAACAAGAATTGCACTTGCTTTACACTGGTGCTCCAGAGTTGCTGGGGATCCAGTTGGCTCTGTGCTCTTAGCAGGGTTTACTGGATTAATGTCAGCACAGGGCATTTGCCCTTCAGTCTGCTCGAGCCCTGCTTTTAGGACAGCTGGGCACCTGCAGATCTGTGCAAAGATCATGCAGACAGTTGGCAACAAGCAGAAGCTGCGTGAACCCCGATTCTGCTGGGGAATGCCAAAGGAGAAGCAGAGCCATCCTCCTCTGAGCCAACACAGCTCACGATCATACAGCTGAGGTCACCATCTGCACGAAAAACGGTGCAGCTGGGCACAAGGCACAGAGCATCTACCATCCTGAGCAGCCTGTGGAGGTGCTGGAGGTGATTGTTCCACACCAGTGGCCCAACCTGAAAGCAAGCTCTGTCTGGAACGGCATTAGGGCCAGATGCAGCTGCCACGTGACTGGAAGCTGAGGGTGAACCATCTGTTCACTCACATGCATATGATGTCAAGCAAATATTTCAAACCACCAGTCAAAAAAAATACAGCTGCCTTACCCTCTCCTGTCCACCAAGTGAATCTTTGCTTGGGCGCATTCACTGATGGGGAGATATTTTCATGATACCCTTCCTGTGCTCTTGTGCTGGTGTTTATTGCTATCCTGAAGTGAAAATCCCCAAGAAATGGGTCTCACCTTTCACAGTCAGTTTTGCAGAGGTGGTCTCATCTCCAGCCTTGCAGGAATACTCCCCAGCATCCCTGGGCTCCAGGTGGTGGACGAGCAGCTCGCGGACGGTGCCCTCCTGCCGCATCTCGTACTTGGAGCTGGAGCGAAGGACAACCCCGTCTTTCCTCCACTCCACTTCTGCCTTGCTAATGGAAATCTCACAGCTCAGCTTGGCTGTCCCCCCCACTTCCACCTCTGTGCTCTTCAGCTGCTGCTTCAGCCGGGGTTTGATGGCTGCAGAGTGAAAAACAATGAAGACGTGACGCATTAGTTTGGGTGCCAGGTCTGCCCAGCTCAGCACAGGGCACCTGGGGGCTGATGCTGCAGAAGAAATTTGCATTAGGTGGTTGTATTATAGTAATACTACTCTATTTTTCTATAAACAGACCTATATTCTTCATATTCAGACAAGGAGAGGCTCAAAAATTCCCCAAATATCTTTGTTTCCCATGAAGTCGAGGGCATCCACGTTATACCTTTTATACATCTGCTCTGGATATGGGAAACGACCACATGGATAAAGATTTTGGTTAAGCAAAACCTGGTACTTTCTCAGTAAAACTAGTATAAATTTGTTCCTTTTTGTAGAAGGACTCATGAATTCCAACACTGTAAGTGGTTCAAGACTTCAAATACATTTCTGATTTCTCTGCTGTCTTTTCAAGACCACGGAGCATCAGCAGTGAGTGCTCCCAGACAACGCCCACACAAATTGTCCACATTTATTCAAGCAAGGCAAGGAACAGCTCAGACAACAGCTTGTCACTGATGAAAACAAGACAGGAATGTCCATTGTGTGTGTGAGCAGTTGGGAAAAGAGGAATCTCAGACTTGTGGTTCCTCTGTCTAAACCTTGCTGTGACACATGTAAAGCAAGCACAGGGCTCTTTCACTTGTAGTTGACCCAGTGGCTGCTCCATGGGACAACTTCAGGAAAGAGGAGGTAGTTTGAAAGGCTGTAGCTTAGATCACAGAATCCCAGCATGGTGGGGCTGGGAGGGACCTCTGGGGATCATCTCATCCCACCCCCTGCTCCAGCAGCTCACCCCCAGCAGGGTGCCCAGGGTCACAGCCAGGAGGGTTTGGGATCTCTCCAGAGCAGGAGACTCCACAGCCTCTCTGGGCAGCTGCTCCAGGCTCTGCACCCTCACCCCAAAGAACTTTTTCCTTCTGTTTAGCTGGAAAGACCAAAGCCACAAGTTCTACCCAACACTTTGCTATGACCACGAGTATTTCTTAGACAGTGATAAATCACAGACATTATTCCTGGTTTGGGTAAGCACAATGTTCTCAGGCTCTTCACAAGAAGGCATTACCAAAATTAAAGTAGTCAGTTCTTTTGATGCTTATGGTTAGTTATTGATTCTGCTGAAACAGCTATGGATGCCAAGTGCCCAAAATAAATATCTATTAGAACTCTAAAATCACCTTAAAATCATTCTAAATTCTAAAATTCTCTATTCTGATTTATGACTGGCCACCTGCTCTCCTCGTTATCTTAACATTTGGAGAGGTTTAATCGCCAACAAAGAATTTCATCCCCAGAATTCCACAGACCCCTTTTCTCCTCAGTTCCACTCGGGGGCAATGCTAACCATTCACTCTGAGGACTGCTGTGCTCTGCTGGTCCCCGCTATCACACGTGTAGTCAGAGGCATCTTCTGGTTCTACGTTATGAATCACAAGTTCAGCTGTCCGACCACTCAGTGTAATTTCATATTTGGCACAGGGGAAGAGCTCCATGGTGCCTTTCCTCCACTCCACTGCCGCGTTATCCTTCGTCAGCTCACACTGGAATTTCACTGCAGCTCCTTCTTCTGCCTCCTTGTCTTTGAGCTCCTTTTTGAAAAGAACTGGCAGGGCTAAAGGGGGACAAAAAGAAGCAACAGGAGCTTTTATTGAAGCCTGAGTCAAGTCCTGGTTATCACAGATTGACACTTTGAAGACCAAGATACAAGTGCTATGTTGCTAGGCAGGATCCATGGTTTCTAATATGCCTGGAGCTCCTAGAAGACCTTGCTGCATCAGAAGCAGCCATCTGCACTTATTTCCCTTGTTGCTTGACTCAAATCCTTCCCAGGGTTGAATTCTTTGAAGGAATTTATCCCTCTAGTTGATCTAACAATGATATGAAGAGTAAAGAAGTTCCAAACTTCACGGGCAGCCTCGACAGATCAGGGAGGTCGTCGACAGTCCAGGACTTGGAAGAAAATCTTTTTAAAAATTCTTAAACCACATGTCACATGAAATGTCCAGATGTTACATGAAAACATTGCTCTTTCTTGGAGTTTCTCCCTAGCTATAAAGCTAGAAATTGTTTCTTCTTTGAACCCAAAACTCAGATGTAGCTCTAGAAGAACAAAGTGTCAGCCTCTTCCATTGTCATTAAAAAAAATTTATTCCTAGTATATCAGATTAAAAAAATATATATTTATAGGGTAAAAAAATGTACTTAAAAGTAGTCCCATGGAAACTGCTGCTTTGCATGTTGGATGGAATGTACTGCTTTAGGAGTCAGCTCCCACCACCTACCTTTCACATTTAAAGTTGCCTTGGATTCCTGATCTCCAGTGTCACAGCTGTACTCCCCTGTGTCTTCTAACTTGAGATCATGTATTAAGAGCTCTACCAGGCATTCCCTCTGCCTCATTTCGTATTTCTGGCTGGGCTGCAGCCCCACTCCTCCTTTCCTCCACTCCACTGCAGCACTGGGTTTTGACAGCTGACAGCAGAATGTAGCTGTGCTTCCTTCCTCTGACTCCTTATTTTGTAGGGGTTGGTTAAACGTGACAGGCAGTGCTGCAAAATTGGAGAGGGAAATGGTTTGAGAGAGGTTTATTCCCAGAAGGACCCAATCCTCTCAACATTCTTCAGAAATGGCCTATTCTAATGATTCCATAATCCTTGGGCTGCAACTCTTTGTCTTGGTAGCATCTTTCTGGAATCATTCTGTGAACCAAGACCTGAGGACAAACGTGGAGTTGGGAAAGATCTGGCCTTAGAGAGTGATCCATAGAATGGCCTGGTTTGTGAGCTGAAGGAGTCAGACTTTCCTATGGAAGTATCTCCATGCCAGCTATGGGTGGTTTAGTCAAGGATCAGGGACATACTCTCCACTACATGGACCCTGGTTCCTCAACAAGGCTCTGCAAGTTTGCAGTATTAAGCAAGGAGTATTTTCTCCCAAAATAAGGCTTCTGTCAACATATAAAAGATCAACTCAGCATTCAAAACACAAGAGGCAGTACAGCAAAAGATGATAACAAGGTGATAAGTGGAAGAGGAAATTCACTTTTCAGGCAGCCTTGCCCTGGATGGTAGAAAGGATGGAGGTGTGGATGCAGTTGTCTGCAGTCAAATCCACACCTAAGGCTCAGAGCCTTGATGCAGCATATTCACTCATTACTGCAACCCTTAATTGTTGTGTCTCTTATCACCCCAATCAGGCATCACCCCTATCCCTTAAGCCTACTGAAGCAATCAACATCCCAAACCCACCATCAGCCTGCCTGGCTCATTTTCTGTTATCCATTTCCAGCCACCCCCCCTGCACTCAGCAGGGTTCATCATATTTTGACATCGTGGCACCACTTAATTGCTTTGATGCTGACGAGTCACTCCAGATACTTCCAGAAGAACCTTTCTAACTTGGCCATGTGTCATGCTCAAGTAGAATATGTACGTTGGCATGTACTAGTAGCAGAACAAACAAATGGCTGTGGAGAACACTGTGAGATGTTCCTTTTGCTTCAACCTCTATTGAGCCAAGGGTCAACAGTCTGCCTACCATGGACGGTCACCACGGCTGTGGTCTGCTGATGTCCAGAGTCACAGGTGTACCTTCCTGCATCCTCCAGCTCTAAGTCATAAATCACCAGCTCAGCAGTGGAGCCCTGCTGCTTCATCTTGTACTTCAAACCAGGGGAGAGAGTAATATCCCCTTTCCTCCACTCTACTGAAGCCTTGGGTTTGGTAAGCTCACACCTCAGCGTCGCTGTGCCACCTTCTTCCGCCTCCGTGTCCTGAAGCTCTTGTTTAAAAAGTGCTGGTAGGGCTATAAAATAGAAACATAACTTGCAACATACTGAGGTTGGGGGTTGGGAAAGAGGAAAAAAAAAAAATGAAAGCACCAAAAGAGCTTGTTTTACAGATGTCTCTACACCTCAATGCTCTAGATTCAAAGTACAAGGCTGTTTCTTCAGGAGCAGCAGGAACAGCTGCAGAACCAGAAATCAGTTTCAAGAAGTTGCATTTGCCATGTAGTATATGGAAGCTTAATCTAATCTATAATCTAGAAACAGCAGAATATTCTACCTGCTGTAAAACAAGGACATGTTTGCCCTGTTGCCATGTTTCCACCACGTTGCCCTGATCACTGGAGAGGTAGTCTGAAAATCAGCAGGGAGTTGTAAGAGTTCAGATTCCCTCTCAAGGCAGGCCACTTGCAGAAGAGATTACAATTATCCTGATAGTAACATACTGACCAAAATTTCAGCTTTGTAACTCCCATTTTCTACCTGATCACTCTGTTAGGCCATCTAGACCATGTTCTTCTGAACACCTTATGAACTGTTGTTGGGTCTTCTCCATAAGTGACACTAAACCCAGGTCTCATTTTCAGAAAACATGACAATCTTTTCCTTTTGTTCTATTTTTTTACCATTGATGGTCAGAGTGGCTGTTGTCTGCTGATCTCCACACACACAGGTGTACTCTCCAGTGTCCTCCATAGCCAGCTCATGGACAACCAACTTTGCAACAGCACCATCTTGACTCATTTTATATTTGCTGCTTGCTTTGAGCACCTCCTGCCCTTTCTTCCACTCCACCACAGCAGGTTTAGTCAGCTCACAGTGCAGAGCAGCTGTCCCACCTTCTACAGCTTCTAGGTCCTTCAGGTCTTTCTTGAATTCTGGAGGCAGTGCTGAAGAGTAAAGGAGTTACCACAGAGAGAGTGAATATCCCTTAAAAAGCAGCAGGATGAGGTCCTGGGGGGAGGATGCATGGTACAGTGCTGAGCCCTGCTCCAGGTCAGGGGAACACAATGGAAAAACCTCCCCCAGGTTCCCTGGACATCAGGGCATGCAAAGAGAAGAACCAGCACAGCTGAGGAGGACAAACACCAACAGGCAACTCTTCCCACCTCTAACAGGAGGAGGAAGCACATCAAGTCCACAGGAACACAAAAGCCCAAGAAAACAGAAAGGGAATGGGAGCAGAGCACAACAACAGAGACCTGGGCAGGTGGAAGGTTTGGAGGACCTCAGTCCCAGGGGTTACTTTACCATGCACAGTGAGGGTGGCTGTGGTGGTCTCATCTCCACACGCACAGGTATAATCTCCAGTGTCATTCGAGTCTAAATTGTGAACTAGGAGCTCCACAACACAGCCCTCCTGTCTCATGCTGTACTTGTTGTCCAAGGTGAGGAGGTGATGGCCCTTCTTCCACTGCACAGGGGCAGATGCCTTGCTGAGCTCACAGTGCAAAGTGGCCGTTCCACCTTCTGCTGCTTCCTTGCTGCTCATCTCTTCTTGGAAAAACGGAGGCACAGCTGAAGGATGCAGGTAAAAAGTATTACAACCTGAGGATATCTCCAGGGATGGGTGGGAGTGGGAAGGGAGAGGGGAAAGTTGTGAAGGTTATGGAAGAGTGAGCGTCAGCAGTGAAGAGAGGAAACAGAAATGGAAATATCCTTGTGGAAATAAATACTCTGATCCATTTGGTTTCATGCTGGCAAGACTGCACTGTCCTCAAGAGATTCAGACCTGCTTCCTACCAGTTTCTGTGCAAGTAAAACTAAGACTATAACCTCTGAGCTCCTTAGTTCACACATGTGTTGATGTCTTCCACAGATTTCATGCCTTTGTACTCTTTTCCTACTGAGCTCTCAATGTTGGCACAGCTCCTGACTCATCCTCATTCCTTCCTCCTCAAGATACCCTTGAAAAGATGCAGCCAGAGCTCACGGATTCTTCTCGACCCTAAAGAAAACCTCCAGATGCTGAACCCCAGCCTGTGGTTTTGTTTCAAAATATATTGTCCCCAATTAACATCATTCTAGTACCCACTGCAAATTATGACCTTCACATATGTCCCTCATTAACTAGATGGGCTAACGAGATATTCCACCTCCTTAACAAGGTTGGATGTCTCAAATCTCAAACTTAAGGACTCCCTCCATAGAGGTGGAGCTGAATTAAAATATCCAGGCTAGAAATCAGGTTTAACCTCCTCGATTTGACACATTTCTCATCTCCAACTGTGGCAAGCTGAAACACTTTTTACACAGCAATGGGTTCTTGAAGAAGAATAAGACCAGTATGAAGTCACAGAGAGAGTTTATTCCTTCCTACTTAGAAAATCAGCCTCCCAATGAAAATCTATGTGCATTAAAAGTCAGGGGCATAAACCCCAAAATAAAAACAACTCAGTAGAGAAGAAATTATAACTAACACAGCCTTATTCTGGATACTGCTTTTTATACCCTATGCTGCATTTAAATGGTAGGTATCGAGTAGGTCAGAAAGGAATGGCACAGAAGGAACAGATGTGTGGTTTAGAGAATAAATGCAGGAAAGGAAAGGCAGAAGAATAGTGGGTTTCTATGCTAGGAGAGGGATGCCAGAAGGGAAAGTTCAAAGGACAGCAGGCTCGTGTTTGAGGAAAGGGAAAGACAAAAGGGTGGCACAGGAAAATGCAGATGAGTATTTTCCAACGTATGCAGCCTGCAGGTCAAAGACAGTCAAATGGATGGAACTTCATTAATAAGGTTGAACAAACAGAGGTGGAAAATTGGACACCTGAGAGTAGAGGACAGACATTTCCAGTGAGGAAATGGGAGGTCAAGGTTTTTACCCTGTACTGTTAGCAGGGCTGTAGTCTGGTGCTCTCCACACACGCAGGTGTAGTCTCCTGCATCCTCCTCGGCTATTTCATGAATCACCAGCTCAGCCTTGGTCCCTTCCTGCCTCATTTTGTACTTCTCATTGGCCTGGAGAATCCTCTGGTCCTTGAGCCATGCCACTGGAGCAGCCTTGGTGAGCTCACAGTGCAGGGCCACTTCTCCACCTTCTTCTGCTTCCTTGTCCTTTAGCTCCTCCTTAAAGAGTGGTGGCAGAGCTGAAGGATGCAACATGGACAAATAGTCATCAAAAAACCAGAATTTAAATCCTAATCTCTTGCTTGGGATTATTTCCCCTCATGCCTTCTTTTTTCAGCCTATTAGAAATGTGCTTAGCTCCAGCCAAGTTCAGAACCTACGAGAGAATCCTTCAAGTGTGACGTGGTTTCACTCACCACAAGCTCCCTGGGTGTCTGGGGCTTGTCATAAGGAAAGAACAATGCAGAAAGAACCAGATTTTGGGTCAGCAGCACTCACAAATAACACTGCTGGGCACAGCCCTGTTTTACCTACAGAGGTGTGAGTTCTTGGAGGCTGTTACTATTAATTTTCTGTTCCATGTCTACTAAAAACTTATTGACCACCTACATGAAACCAACCATATTTCAAAATAAAACCACACCTCGTTTTAAACTGAAGTTTGAAGGGATGCTACAGGTAATAATTAAAATTTTTACTATTCCCTATTTTGCAAGTCATAACCCAAAGATAGAACAAGTTACGGGAAAACTAATTATTAACATTTACCCACAAAGGTGCCTTGTGCACGACTACTATGAGTGGGTACAGAATAAAATAGTACTCCCAAATGCCTCAGAAAAAAAACCTGTGTCTCAGGAAAGCCTGAGGAATTCTTTGGAAAACAAGCTGGTTGGGACAGAACTGGGTGTCATAGAAAATTAAGTTTCCCAGAGCCAAGGGTAGTTACTCCATTAAAACAGACACTCCTTAATGAGAGGAGAGCAGAACATCAGCTAATGAGATTGTTAATGTAACATAAGGATTTATTTCTAAGATCAGGATTTATTTCTGGGTTGGTTTATTGGGAGTTAGGATAAAGAAGAGTAGAAATATAATAATAGATATAAATAAAATAAAAGATAGCCTGTTGTGTTAGGAGTTTTTAATACCCAACTATCAAGGTTGTCCTGCTCCCACCATGAAGGTGTAGACCCCTGCCTCCTTCAAGCCAAAATGAAGGGTAACAAGCTCTGAAATAATAACTCTTATCTCATTCTGCATGTCTGTGTTGCTTAAAGACCCTGTTACACCCAGGAGCAGCCATGGCCATGTCACACAGCACAGGGACATGTCCTCCTCCTGTTGTCCCACCCCTCACTTCTCCTCTGAGCAGTGCTTGGAGAGCAAAGGGCCTGACAGACCAGAGATATGTGTTTGGGAGAAAACTCTGGTCAGATGAAGAAACCACAGGGATGAGGGGGGGACAGAGCTGGAAAATGTAAATGTACAAGATGAGGGGACTTGGACAGAGAGAAACATCTAATTTTCTCCTTTGAACCTGGGAGCAGATTAATAACAACCCAAAAATTTGCCCTGAGCTTTTTTTTTTGCCTCACTAAGAAATGATTTGTACAAAGAATGAAGGAAAAGAACAGGATAAAACCAAAGACAAGTTACTGACCCCGGGCAGAACTAGATGAGTTTCAGAGTGATGTCTGTCTACAAAGCTATGTATCAATTTTAATAAGGTCTTTTTACCATGAACTGTTAAGGTTGCTGTTGTCTTCTGGTCACCACACACACAGGTGTAATCTCCAGCATCTTTCACTTCTAGGTCACGAATGACTAGCTCTGTGGTGGTGCCAAGCTGTCTCATTTGGTATTTGTCACTTCCCTTGAGCACTTTGGAGCCTATTTTCCACTGCACTGGAGCTGCTTTGCTTAATTCACAGCGCAGAGAGACTGATGCTCCTTCCTGGGCTTCTGTGATCTTCAGTTCCTCCTTGAAAACCACAGGCAGGGCTGGGAATGGAAAGGCAATAGACAGTGCATTTAAACTAAGACCTCCACATCTGTGACCAGCAGCTGAAGTTCAGATTTGGCCAAGTCAGGGACTTTAGCCATTGAGGTTGAGGTTATCACTACGATCATCTGGAAAACCAAATCCAAGAGTGACAGTAAAAAAAGAAACAGAGCCAATAGGTCAAAGCACAACAAGCTGGATGGGTTCATGATGGAACCTAAAGGATTTATGACAAGGCCACTCTCCATGAGGGCAGGACAGGGGCATTTCTTAGACACTCATAGCACTATGGAGAAACAGGGATATCCCCAGCTCCCTTTTCAGGAGCATCACAGCAAAATTAAATCTCAGAACAAGAAGTTCTCCTTTCTGAACATGACTGAGCCTCTGGGAAAAAGCTGAGAGGTGAACACTTTGCACAGGAACAGGATGTATCAGAGAAACCAAAAAAGGAACAGTCGTCTGCAAGATGAATTTACCATTCACTGTCAGAGAGGCCGTGGTGTGCTGGTCTCCACACACACAGCTGTAATCTCCTGCATCCTGCAGCTCTAGGTCACGAATTTCCAGCTCAGCAAGGGCATCATCCTGCCTCAGGATGTATTTTTCACTAGCCCTCAGTATTTTCTTTCCTTTCCTCCACGACACAGCTGCAGCCTTGGTCAGCTCACAGCGCAGGGTGGCTGTTTGGCTTTCCATGGCTTGTAGGTCCTTCAGTTCTTCTTTGAAGAGTGCAGGCAGGGCTGAAGGTCACAAAATGGACAGAGGACATTAAAAATGACACATAGCACATAGGTGATGGAAAGGATAGGGTGGTACAGAAGCAGAGAACACCCCAGGGTGGAAAGAGCTTCTTAACCTCATAATTCTGGGACATTGGACAAACCAAGAGACAAGAAACAGAAAACCAGCCTGGATGCCACCAGATCTTAGAGACATCTTACAAGTTTAAAGCAACAAATTCAGCCACAGGTGAACACACAACCAGTAGCACTGAAGTGGTAGAGAAATAGAGCAGATAGTACATTGTTCTTTACCATGCACTATCAAGGCAGCTGTTGTCTCCTCTTCTCCACACACACAAGTGTATTCTCCAGCATCTTTCAGTTCCACATCGTGGATAAGCAGCTTCATGACCGTGCCCTCCTGTCTCATTTTGTATTTGTCACTGACTTTGAGCAAGCTGCTTCCTTTTCTCCACTCTACTTGAGCAACCTTGCTCAGCTTGCAGCACAGGGTGGCTGCTTGACCTTCTGTCACCTCCTCGTTCCTCAGGCTCTCCTCGATGCGTGCAGGCAGTGCTGAGGATGCAATGACAGAGGGTTAAAATGGAGCAGCAAAAAGCCTTTGGAAGGGTGTGGGTAGGGGGAGGAAAGAGGAGGGCATCAGTGGGGAGCTGTCTTCAGGCCTGACCTCACGTCTACTTTAGGCATCAGATCCTGAAACCACTTTGTGTTAGGAAACAGGATGAAAGTTCAGCCCTTAAACCACAAAATGCAAATTATTCTCATGGCTGTGATGAGTAAAGTCAAACTCAGAGGAACTATTCAGGGATAACAATGAACGGGGAGAAAAATACTGAATCCAAACCACAGGCTTGAAAAGGAGGAGGTGGAGATGAAATTGGTTATTACCATGGACTGCTAAGGAAGCTGTGGACTGCTTGTCCCCACACACACAGGTATAATCACCAGCATCATTCTCATCTAGATTATGGATCAGCAGCTCTGCAGTGACATCCTTCTGCCTCATTTTGTATTTCTCACTAGGTTTGAGCACTGTGTGTCCCTTCTTCCACTCCACTGGGGCAGCCTTGGTCAGCTCGCAGCGCAGGGTCACTGCTTCACCTTCTGTGGCCTCCTCATTTCTTAACTCTTCTTTGAAGAGAGCAGGAAGGGCTGAGAAACAAAGGAGCAAATGTTTTCGTGATATGCAGTTCGTGGCTACCAAATAAATGAACCTTGATGTTTACCAATCTCTCCACACCTAGTTCTTGGCAGGAGGATCACCTCACAGAAAGAAGATTCTCATTTGTATCGTTGTCACAGAAGGGTCTTAGCAGGTAGATTTGCTGATTGGTTTAGAGATGCATGGGGAATAAATAACAAGAATGGGAAAACTTCATGTGTGGTCAAAACTATAACTTTTTCAGTGTAATTCAGCCCAGGAAAAGGGATATAAGCAGGTTACACCATCATCAGGGGAAAATATATACATAAAAAATAAGAACAGGGTTTCCCTTATTTACCTGATGTGTTAAGGATGCCTGCAGACCTAGCTTGAGAGTTAGAATGAGGCTGAAGAGCAGAATCAGACCTCTTGGAAGTGCTTGTGTAAGAATAAAATGGAAAAAGAAGGATGATGAGCCCATCATTAAGATGTGCTGTAAGATGTTCAGGTACCTCCTAACAGCCCGTCCCTTTTGGAACAACTGAAAGAACATGAATAATTCAGAGATTCAGAATTCTTATTGAGTTAATAATTCATTAAGATTTCAGAATAATTCAGAGTATAAGACTGGATGGTAATGTGGTAGTAGGATGGGATGATGACTTCTAAGTCTTTGGCATGGAGTGGGGACTACTTTGGGATATAGAACAGATATGGAAGAATGGGAGAAGAGGATCTCCAATTCCTGACTCTGACCAGCAATAAATATTTGAGATTACAGATGGAGAGGACAATTATGAAGCAAGAGAAGCTCATGGATTTTAGGACAAGTAATGATGGAGAAGAGCAAAAGGAAATTCTGTGGGCAGCAAGCAAGCTTCAATAATTCAAGAATTATTACTTATTATCAAGCAGAAGCAAATTTAAAGGGCAAAGTAGCTTAAGAGAGTAGAAAACTCCCCAAAGAAACAATATTAAGGGCATAATTACACAGATTATCTCATTCTGAAGACCATCAGGAATAACCTGTTCATGTCACAAACTCTTCAAAGTCCTGAAACTCCAGAGAACTATAAAACATGGGAGGTTTAGATGGGTGTTAAAGAAATGCTACAGAACGTAGAAGCAAAGCCATAAGGTTCCTGGAAGGCCTCAAGAAGGTCAAAGGCAGTTCTCCATTCCTGGACTCTGTCACCTCAGGGGCAAAGAGAGCAAGATGAAAGAGGGGCTGAAAAGGAGTCTGCAAAATGGTGTTGTTATCAAATGTCTCTAAACACAACTGTTCAATTTTTGTGGCTCTTGGCTGTATCAGGATTTTAGCAAATCCCAGGAAATCTGGCCAGCCTGAACTAGAAAGAAATAGAAATAATACAATGACATCCTGTCAGTAGATTAGAAGAAAGGCAAACAACAAAGGAGAAGTTGGTCTCCCTCTCTTCCAGGAATGTAGGTTGATGGTGAGTGACATGGGACAATCTGAAGTGATTTTTTCTTCTTTAATATTAAAGGTTAATGATGGTTAAAAAAGTCATAGTAATTCTGGCTAGGAAAAAAGGGATTAGAGATATTTAAAATAAACAGATGATTCTCAAAGCACCCTGGTGTGATTAAGTGATTTGTCCTGGAATGTTTAAGGTACAGGCTCAACCAATACCAGACATTAACATCTTAGCATGTAAACCAAGAGTTTAGGGGCAGTGAGACACTGGAACAGGTTGTCCAAAGCAGCTTTGGATGCTCCATCCCTGGAGGTGTTCAAAACGAGGTTGGGTGGGACTTGGAGCAACCTGGTCTAGTGGGAGGTGTCCTGCCCATGGTAGGGGGTTGGAGCTGGATTATCTTAAAAAGTCCCTTAAAAGATGATCTTTAAAGATGATATTTAAAGTCCCTTCCAACTTGGGTATAGGTGAAGCTACAGTAGGAAGCTCTACTGATTTGAAAACCACAGTCAAAGAGTATTCAGCTGTGGTTTACACTCACAGTGAATGAGTTGAGCAGAATTCCTCAGTGCTCTGGAGTCCAGCAGAATTCAGCATTTTCTTCAGTGACTTGAACAATGACATGTGATGAACTTGGCAGGTGATCTCAGGGTGGGGAGGGAAAGAAGCCAAAAGGCCTTTGTTAAATGGGATTTGCAAAAATACTATATTTAGGAACACTCAACAACATAAATACAAGATGGGGAATGAGAGGCAGTAGGTCTGCAGAGAGAGATTTGGGGTTACAAGAGATCCCAGAGCAAATGCAAATTAAAAAATGCAATTCTGGTGTGAATAGAGCAAACATCATTATAGGGATATATGGAATGGAGTGTCCTGTGCAAGACAGTCCTTCCACCCTGCTCCAGGCTGGCAAAGCCTCAGATGTGCTCTGCTTTTGGCCACCACCCTTCTAGAAAGATGTGGATTAACTGAAGATGGTCCAGAAAGCAACAAAGATGAGCTGAAGTCTAGAAAATATGAGTTATGAAGAAAGAATGAAAGGATTGAAGGTGCTTAGACCAGAAAAGAGAAGACAGAAAGGAGACACGATGTCAGCTTTCAAATCTTTCACTGAGAGGAAAATACCAATTACTTCTCCATTTCTAAAGGATGTTGGACAAGGAGTAATGACTTAAACCAGCTTGAGAAAGACTTCTTCTGAAATTAGGAGGAATTTCCTGCCAGTTTTGAAGGCTAGGTAGGGGAATGAGTGTCCAGGGGAGCTGCAAATCCTTCAGCACCAGAGTGAGGCTAGGTAGAGATGATGGTGACCTAGGGCTCAAGATGACCTGTAGAGGTCCTTTCCATTTCTATTTTGAATGGTTAAATTGGAAGTTAAAGACTGAAGCTCTCCTTGTTTTACTGGTCAATATCAAGATTAAAAGGTCTGGGCAGCAAAGTAAAGAAGTCAACTCATTGAGCTGGTGGCTTCTCAGGTAAGAACAATGGCTGAAACTATTTTCTACTGTCCTGTGCCAAGAGTGGAAATACAGATTCCCTCTTTTCCAAGGAAAGTCTGGGGATGAATTTGACTGAGGACTATAAGGAACTCACACTACAGTACTGAGTATTCTGCAGTACCAGAATGCAAATCTACACGACCCTTGGTCAGAGTTATGTAGAAAAGTTCCATTGAATCAAGTTTTGTTTTCATTATTTAAAACTCCCTATCAAATCCTAATGGAACTTGAAATCTAAGATTGCTCTTAGGATGTTCCTGCTGCTGCATCTCTAGGCTCAAGTCAAAAGTAGGTGAAAGAGAATAAAAAATGCAACTATGTGGCAGCCTTCAGCGTGGTGTAAAGCAGCAGAGTTGTGCACCAAGATGATCAAGGAGAAGAAAACAGGGGAAATATTAGTATAACCAATGGAACTAGTTAGAATTAGATAAAAATTGCTATATATAAAAAAAAAATCCATTACTAACAGAATTAACGATGGTGAGATTAAAGATTAGAGGAGGAACTCATTGTGTGTCAGTACTGAGGCTTCCAGAGGAGACAGGAGACACAGCAGACAAGAAATGGTCTATATATATATAAAAAAAATCCATTACTATCAGAATTAACGATGGTGAGATTAGAGAAAGATTAGAGGAAGAACTCATTGTGTGTCAGTACTGAGGCTTCCAGAGGACACAGCAGACAAGAAATGGTCTCTTTTCTGTTTTCTTACCATGCACTGTCAGTGCTGCTGTAGTCTTCTCATCTCCACACACACAGGTATACTCCCCAGCATCCTTGACTTCTAAAGCATGGATCAGCAGTTGTGCTGTAGCACCTTCCTGTCTCAGAGTATATTTTTCACTTGATCTGAGCACCTTGTGCTTCTTTTTCCACTCCACAGGGGCAGCCTTAGATAGCTCACACTGTAGCATGGCTGTTCCACCTTCTGTGGCTTCTTGGTGCTTCAACTCTTCCTTGAAGTGTGCAGGCAAGGCTGAGGAGTTCAGAACAAGCAGAATGTATGACCACGGCAGCCATCCAAGTACCTCTTATCTGTGGTCTGTCAACCAAGCCCTCCTTAGCCAAACAAGATTGATAACCACTCTAGGAAACATGATGGTGACTTTGGAAACCTGGAAAACACCTTGTTCATAAGTCAGAGGGGGTTTTTTTATGCTATGGTCTATGGCATGAAATGGAGAACCACACCAGCCTCAACTTCAGGCTCTGCAAGACTGAGCCCGACCTTACAATGGGCACAATAAAGCCCAACTTGAGTGTCTAAGTTCTACTGTAATGCAAGTAATTACTGAAAAAGTTCACAAATGAAGCTATATCTGAGTCACTAATCTCACTTCCCCATGAGGTTGCTCCTCAGATAATGGCCTAGTAGATCTTGACTGTCAGCTTATTCTGAAATGCTGAAAAGCATCCAAAATATCTCATCTTCAAACGGTAATAATCTCCACTTGAAGGCTATAAAGTTTTTACAACCAATGTTAGAATAAAGTCTTTACAATAATATTGTGATTTTCCTTTTTTAGGAACTACCAAACAAAGAAATAAGTTTGAACCAAGATGAATATCTGAAATTCTTCCAAGGAACCCCTGATTAGTGCCTGATACTGTCCAGTGCAGTCAAGCATTTATGCCCATTTCCAACCACGTTGCTAAATTCACCAGAAACGAGGCTGCAATTTCAAACCTGATGCTACCATGCTCTTAAAAACCCAACTGGTTGATAAAAATCCACTGAATTTGATCTTTTTTTTACCATTCACTTTCAGTGCAGCGGTAGTTTTCTGCTCTCCATAGCAGCACGTGTAATCTCCAGCATCTGTCAGATCTAAAGCACGGATCACCAGCTCAGCAGTCGTGCCCTCGCATCTCATGGTGAACTTCTCATTTGGCTCCAGGGCTCTGTCTCCTTTCCTCCACTCCACGGCAGCCACGGGCTTGCTCAGGTCACAGCAGAAAGTGGCCGTGCCGTTTTCTGTGGCTTCCACGTTCTTCAGCTCTTTTTTAAAGTGTGGAGGAAGGGCTGAAGGTCACAGGTGAAGAGAGAGGGCTTTAAAACTGGGGAAATACTGAACCTTGGCTGCTCCACTGAATTAAAACTCTTCCATCAGTGAAAATTTTACAATATTCAATACCTAAGAGGCAAATGATGATTTCAAGGGCATCCCTGCCTTATGTTTTGCAACACACCCCATCCAGAATGTCCCAACTGGTTTGGAAATCTTATTTCAGTATTGGAAGCTATGCTCCAAAGGCATTTAAGCTATAACCACAGAAAGCTGATCCCAAAATTTCAAGGAAATGTGCACAGCTCTGTCTTAAGATCAAATGAATATTAAAATGAATTCTATGTTATTTCAAATTCCAGGCTGCAGCGTATTGTTCTCACCTGCCTTTCTCAGTTGTCACCATAAAAAAGCACCTTTAAATTCCCTTCAAGAAAAGACAAGTGACATCTCAGTGATACACCTAGAGAAATTAATTAATAGAAATACTGGAATTGCTGTTTGGACCTTGTAAGGTCTTCTTTATCTGCTCCCAGATTCCATTAACATGAAAGAACAGGGACAGAGAAGGCTGTAGGATGCTATTTCTTAGTTCTAGGAGGACTTCTAGTAAAAGAGATATTCCCAGCAGTTGATACAGCTGTGATAACAACTTAAAATAATAGATAGAACCAAGACCAGCTTGTGATCCTGCACGAGACCACAGATGACCAAGCAGAAAATCCCTATTAAACTTGGGTGTTTTACCATGCACTGTCAGGGATGCGGTTGTCATCTTGTCTCCACACACACAGGTGTAATCTCCTGCATCTCCTTCCTCCAGGCTATGGATTGTCAGCTCAGCAACGGCATCCTTCAGTCTCATTTTGTACTTCTCACTAGGCTTGAGCACCGTTTGCCCTTTCCTCCACTCCACAGGAGTGGGTTTGGTGAGCTCACACTGCAGAACCGCCGCCCCGTTCTCCGTGGCTTCCACATTGACAAGTTCTTTTTTGAACAGTGCAGGCAAAGCTATGGGATGTAATATAAACAGAGAGGTCATCAAAACCATTAGCCAGACCTTGAGGAATGTAGTCTTGAAAATGGCATCTACTTGGAAAGCTGCTGCAGGATCTCACAGGGATCATTGCCACCACGATCTGCTTCTAACGTTGACTTAAGCAGCACGCTCATCACTTCCCAGCTGATTCCAGAAGTTCTCTCTACCTATTTCACTCTGAAATCATCTACCTTGAACATTAAGGACCTGGCTTTTGATTGAAAGTCATCGTCCTGGATGACAGCACTGCTAGCTGGAGATCTCAACTTTTCCCAACCTTAATATATCATTCTCGTTCAGAAGAGAGAGAATTAAATATAACCTCAAGTGCACCTTTAAGCCACCATTTCTAAGGACATAATGTCTCTAACATCATTAATACAGTGGGTTTTTTGAGCACCTTTCATCAATCTGCTTTTTGTTGTGCCCCAAAAGTGAAAAGGAAGCCACTTGCAGAGTGAGGAAAATGCCAGCTCAGAGGAAGGGAGCAACAGCAGTACCTCCATCTGGGAGAAAGAAGAGGTACTAAAAACACCCAGAAAATGTGAGAGAAGAAAGCTTTGCCTCCACAGTTCTCGCCCTTGTCCTTGGAAGCATCTTATTGTAAAGATTTATCTCAATAAAAATTATTATTCCATCTATTGGGACTACACGTGAACTGGACCTTCTGGAGGGGCAACCAGAGCTTGTCACTGTTCACCATGGCAGAGACAGGAAGAAACTCTGTCTCAGTACTCCCTAAATGAGGCTTTGTACCATAACACTTGGGCTTGTGGACTGTTTGGAAAGTACCATTTCCTCAGCAGAACATATCACAGTCCCACAAGGGAGGAGGACAGTCCTGGGTGGGGAAATCTGTCTCATTAACTGAGCTCGGAGATGATAAAGATCATTCCTTCAAACTCAGCACCAAAATCCACTGACATCAGTGAGACACAAGGACAAACCCTCTGAGAAAAGTCTTGTGGATGGAGATCTGCTCCCTCTTGGCCTTCCATACAAGTGCCTCTTTCACTCTTCAGAAGTGAAGACTAAGATGAGAAATTCTCACAGCTCTACTTTGCTATAAAACCACCAGATTCAACCTGCCTCAGTGGGAGATGGGAGGAAACCCAACCAGCAACCCAAGAAAATGCTGCTAAACCAAAACACCACAGCAAGTCAGAAATAAACCTCTCAGAGAAAAGGGATCTCCTTCATCTGAGCTTGAGAGGCTGCTACCATAATGGAGAATGGCTTTTTTACCATGGACTGTCAAGACAGCCGAGGTCTTCTGATCTCCACACACACAGGTATATTCTCCTGTATCTTCTACCTCCAGATCTCGGATCAACAGCTCTGCAGAGGTATCTTCTTGTCTCATCCTGTACTTCTCACTCGGTTTGAGTGTCTTGTCCCCTTTTTTCCACTCCACTGGGACGCCGACCTTGCTCAGCTCACAGTGCAAAGTGGCTGTTGCACCATCTGTGGCTTCTCTGTTCTTCAAGCCTTCTTTGAAAAATGCAGGCAAAGCTGAAGGACAGCAACATGGACAGTGAGAGGTAATGCTCCAAAGAGCTCAAAGTTAAACATCGATGTTCAAGTTTCCTTTTCCTTCCTATCTTGAACTGATTTATCAATAGAAGAACAGATTCTCAATCATCTGCATGAATCGGTATGAGGAAAGAAATATCACCACCAGGAAAGGGTTCAGTGCTTGGAATAATCTGCAGAGGTTTTTAACATGTATTCAGAATCACAAATCAATACAGGCAAAAGAAGAAAATCCAATTTATTTTATTTTTTTTCCCCCTGAGAAATTTCAAACAAAAGGAAGAAATACTAATTTGAAATTTCTGGGGGGAAAAAAAAAAATTGGTTTTCTTCTCTGACATTTTAAACAATAATGGGAGGATGTTTGCTATGTTTTCACATACTTCAGCAAGCAAAATGACATTGCACATTAAAAAAAAAAAGGAAGAAACACTGGATTTTCTCTCTGAATGCCAGTTTGAAATGAAATTATTCATTTCAATCCATGAAGGGAGAACAAGCATTTGCAGCTGAACTGACATGTCCTTTCAAACGTGTCAGGGGCAGTGAAAATCAAAGTTCTCCCTTGGAACAGCCATCCCTTAGAAGGTTTGGGCTTGCTTTACACAGGGCAGTAACTGAGTGTGAGGACAACTGGGCTGTGTGTAGGAAAGCACCTCGTTGTCCCAGGAATGGAGATGGGGAATAAGATTCCAGGAAATAACGTAACCTTGGGGAATTCTGTGAAACCACAAAATCCTGAAGTCGTGCTCCCTTTGAAGCTATCCATTTTATGGGGCTTGAGCATAACAGGGAGTCTAAAAAAGGCATTTTCAAGGGGAAAAGGAAAATGATGGACCCTAATTAAAAGAGTAGCAGCGACCCTGGTTGCCTGTACTCTGAGCTTGCACTCTGATACCCCTCTTGTGCCACGTACCCCAGCGGGAACATTTCACTGGCATCAGTGAGATGTGGATAAAGGAGCTGAGGAGGGAGATGTTGGGGTAACCAGGTATCTGTCTAAATCAACAGAGAAAACAAGGACTTATTTTTAGTATGTGTCCTGTCTTGTGTGTTTTACCATGCACTGTTAAAACTGCCATAGTCTGTTGGTCTCCACACACACAGGAATAATTTCCAGCATCCGCCGTGTCCAGATTTTGGATGATAAGCTCAGCAATGCCACCTTCACGTTTCATTTGGTATTTGTCACTTGATCTGAGGGTCTTCAATCCTTTCTTCCACTCCACGCTAGCAGAAGCCTTGTTCAGCTCACAGTGCAGAGAGACACTTTTCCCTTCCGTGGCTTCCTCATCTGTCAGTGCTTTGGTGAAAAGAGCAGGCAGGACTGCAGAGTAAATGCAACACAGCATCAAAGCTGAGAAAGCCTGACCCACCATCTACTCACTCTTTTCTCTCATCTCCCTGAACCTGAACGTCACAAGACCTTCTTCACACTCCAGGATTTTATTCCCATCTCTGTTTCAAAAGAGATTTCTGATCTGTAATTCTTTTTGTCCTCACACTTTAAAGCTGGCTTTAAAAGCAAGTCTGCCTCTCTGCAAACTTAGTGGACAAACCATCCTTCTTTTCCTCTATACATCATAAAAGGGGCAAAATTAGAGGTTGTGTTTTAATATGAGAGCCAGAGCATTTTGTTTCCCTTGAGGAAAACATCAGTTCTGGAGAAGTGACCAATTTATGGCACTTATATTTTTATT